TTTGACTGGGGCGCAAAGATAAGCAGATTCCTCTGGTATTCAGCCCTGACATTTTCAGCTCCTTCTGTGCATAATCCCAGGATGAAAGGAAACCGTATTTAATTTTTGCCCTAACTTTACAACATCTTTATCTTTATTACATTGCCTATCTGCAAAAAAACAGCTTCACCATTCAGTGTATTTTTAAAAACTGATTTAAGGCCATTAAGCAGTGGTGAACCAGATTTGGTCTGCCTGTTGCTGCTTGGAAACAGCGTGTGACTGTTAGACTGGAGAAGCCTTTTGGATGCATTTCAGGGTGAGAGACTACAATAAATATCCGTTTACCTCAAATCGTCCCGTCCTCGCTGCCTGGATTTCCTTTTTACGACTTACTGAGAATAACCCACGGGGTGGGGGTCCCAGACGTATCTTGCAGGAATGGGAATGAGCCCCATTTCCCCCTGCAGAGTAGAACCAGAGCAGCAGTCACAGCGTGGGTCTGAAGGACCTATTGATAGTAGTCTTCAAAGAACACCAAACCTACTTGGTGGATGATATTATTATCACAGGCCGGGAGGGACAAAAGGACACACATGGTGCAGTGTGGGACAGCAGTTTGTAAGTTGCCTCGGCTGCACCTGTCATACTAGGGGCCCCTTTTACACACGCAGGCAGTAAGGTTTCCGTAATTAAGCCAAGTCCTAATACATTCATTTTCAATACAAAAGAATCGCAGGGTATAAATTAATATTAGTGCCGTACAGTCTCAATATACTGTGATGTATGAAAAGTGGCCCTTTTTGTAGGTCATTTCAGAAGCATTTATTGCTGCACATGGTTTGTTAGCATACGGTAAGGCCTGCTGTTGGGACGCATCGGCACGCTCTGCTTGTTATTTCCCTTTCGGCGTGACTGAGTGAGAGTGGCTGTCCACAGCTAACCTCGTGTTCTTCTGCAACAAACCTCTTCATATTTTGTGTGCACAGGACTTCTTGTGGTTGTGGCGGCTCACACTTTGTCACCAAACTTTTATTGCCTGTCTGAAGTTACCCTCAACCAGCCCCCGGCCGGCAGGGGCTTCTGATGAGACACGGTTCTCTTTTCGGCTACATCCCCACCACCACCGTTCCCCTTTAAAACTCGTACCTCTCGCTGCGTTTACACTGAGCGGCCCAACTGCTCCCTGGAATACGCATGACCTTTCTCTCAAAAGAAAACAAACGCCCAGGTCTGCCGGGGATTTGCTTCATTGCTTCACCGGGTTCTAAGCAGCACTGACCCTGTGTGTTGACCAAGTCATTGACCCATAATCGTGTGTGTGTGTGTCCGTGTGTGTGTGTGTGTGTGTGTGGCGCCTTGGGGTGTTATTCTAACAGAACTACTCGTACACAGCTCACTTTTATTTTAGACTTTTGTTTGGCTGACGGATCTACCAGTACAACCATACAATACAACGTGGGCAGACGGCTCGGCAGATTCCCTTTTCGTCTTTTGGCAAGATTGTACAACCTGTTTTTATACTGCAGCTTCAACTGACTGCATGCATGGACCGCCAGTAGTTTGAAGTTTGTTTGCCTTTACAGCCCATTGCTGGCGGGGGGGGGGCGTGTCCATTCTATTACACAATTCAGCAGTGGTCGTTACAGACACAATTGTCTAGTTGCTGTATGTAAGTCTGTGACACCTCACCCACTACCCCAATGTCTGTATTTGTGCATGTTAACACTCCTGTTACTCAAAGAAATACTCGATTGGTGTCAAAATGAATTAACTGTGATTGCAAGTATTACATTACCACGTATTGATCTGGTATGTTTTTTTCCCCCAGCCTCTTTAAGTGGGTCGATCAAAGTTGTCTTTTTGACGGTGTTTAACATGATGTAACATGGTTATTAGGATTCTGGTTCTATAAATGTATGTTATATAGTTCCTTTTTGTTTTTACGAATTCAACCCAGATATTTTGTTATCAATGGATGGTAGATCCATTGGTAGATTCCTGTAGATTCATACCTAGAAACGTCACTGATTGATTCCGCCTCCTGGTTTAATATTGTGCTGTTGAAAGCTCTCTCATTAAGCCGGGCACTTGATTTAAGACTGAGCCTACTGTACAGGCCAGTTTGCCGCTGGTAGCAGTCGCAAGGGAAGGGGAGGGGGGGGGGGGGGGTCGAGGAGGAATGCAGAGACAGAGATTCCCTTCTCCGTTCCCATCCCCCTCTGCTCACCCACACTGTCAACACAGAGGACCCACGCTGCAGATGGTGGCTCCACAGCGCCACTGCAGTGGAATGGTGGAGGTGGGAACTACAGCGTTCTGTTTACAAACCAGTGGTCCTCCCCAGGCAATGCTGCTGACAGATGGCATCTGAGCGGAGGGTCTTGGTGAGCTGTGACTCAACAGTCTGCAGGTTTTTATTTCAAAGCAAACACAATAGTAGCCTATTTGAGTGTATATGGTCTGATTGAAACTGCACTTCAGCCAAAAGCTCAGTTGGGATCACCACAGAACGAACTGTTTAGCATGAAAAATACAACTTTGGCACGTCCCAGTTGTAGAATCAAAACGGAGCCTTTGGAAGATTACAAAGCACACTGCTATTCTCAAAACGGTGGCTTAGCTCTTCGAGATGGATGATTCAAGCTACTGCTGCTGATTTGAGGCCGGAGCAGAGTGAGTGTAAATCAATGGGCTTTGGAGCTGCATGTCAGTGGAATGTGGATGCGGTTGCTTTAAATTACAGTACACTATTGTGTATTGATTGAGTGATTCATGCCTGTTCATAAACACATAACACCACCATGCATCGACCTTATCCAGCTTTGAGCTGGTATCCCAAATAGACATTGGGTGATGTCTGTAAAGGAGCATGGAAGCATGTTTTTTTCTGAAGGCAGTGTAGAGTTTTGAGGCAGATAATTCTGCTCACGGCTCCTATTCACCAATAATGTAAATGAAATCGGTATTGGTGAACACTAATTTCACACACTTCTATCACTAACCCGCACTAACCCCAGTTTGGCCTGGTCAGTACGGGGCAGCAGCAGCCTGTCAGCTGCTTGTGATTTAACAATGGCTCTATTTTAAAGCGCAGCGCGTCTGCAATAGAGTAACAGCTCCTTTCAACATCATGCAATGCATCCAGTTACCTTTGAGCTCCCCTGTAGCACTGTCTGGATCTGTTATTAGGTTACGTTTGTCTGCCTGCTGTACATACAACCGCTCCGGAACAATCTGAGCGTTGGCCTCCACGGCAAACACAGGCCCCTCTCAGTGGAGATGGGGGGGGGGCGGTGAGTGTCTCTGAGCCAACTTGCCTGGGAACATCGTCACCTCTTCTTCTGCTGCCGGTCTCTCTTGGTTCACGGACTGATCCTCAAACCGCTCAGCCATGGCAGCCGTATTCTCTTAGGAAGGTGATGCAACTGGCTCGGGTGGAGCAGTCGGCTGCTGCTGTTGTGGCGCTTTAATATGCAGGACTAGCAAATGTGGTTACAGACTGTATTGGACACATTGCCTCTCCATTTTTTACACAATTTATTCACTTCGCTGTTGCAGAAAGCAGTTTCTCTTCCTGCTATTGTTAAAGCTGCAGTTGGTAACTTTTCTTTATTGCTTTGAGAAGGTTTGGGACTTGACTGTTTGATTAGTGTTTACCTGCGTTACAGACCCCTTGACTCTGATTGGCTGTTTCTCCTGGGGGCGGGCTGGGATCGTGCACCGACAGGAGGCAGAGGAAACTGATGTCACTTTAAGCAAATATTATAACACTTTATTTCTAAAAGTTACCAACTGTAACAATTCATCTCGTCTTTATATTAACCTGTAGAAACTAACCTAATGGTTGTTTGGTTCCTCCCCACACGCCTCCTGTTTGTGACTGCAAATGTAAAGGTCACAGGTCACTCAGAATGTTCTGCTGTATATCCAACATCACAGTACTTAAGAGTTTCTCATCCACTTAGCTGTCATTAAGTGCACAGAAAGTCCTGGGGCCTGCAGACACACTGATTATTCCCCCGGGGAGGTGGGCTTTGAGCTGCCCTTTATTTCACATCGGCTCTCTGTGACTTTTTGCGTTGTTGTTTCCAACCTTTTTAGTTCACAGAACCGCAGACAAAAGCAATGTTGAGTCATGACCCCTGACGTGTGCGTAGATGCACAAACTGAAGTCAAACCACACGATGTGTTAGAACCCCTCCCAGTAGTGATGGTTTGTAGTGGATTGGTACAAAATTGATATTTTAGAAGTAAAAAGTAAAGATATATAGCGGTAACTAGCTGGGGGAGAAACTGCTCCGGGGGACGGCTGTTTGTTGACACAGAATAGAATATTCAATGCATACTGAGAGTACACATCAAAACCAGGAAACACACCAGCTAATCTCACGCTACCGCACATCAATTCATCATTGGCCTCTGTTGTCTAACACAACGTACCTGAATGGTAATCAAACAGCCGCAGCAAAAGAGCTGCGCAGTCGTATTAAAGTTGAATGACGCGTCTCACTTCCGATCCTCATTGAAGCTGATGTGGTGAAACCAACGGCGACATCTTATCACGGCAACTGTGCATTCTCCCCGCGGAGGTGCTTTGTTGTTATCTCGACTCTGCTTGCATTGTGATTGGATCTGTTTGCTACAATTGCTGCCGGAGCTTTATCTTTGCTTGCGCCGATAGTGAGGCTACAACAGTAAAGCGTTCACACCAGTAGTCTACCAGGGAAGTGGGCCTGCACGTATAACACAGTGTCCACAAAAGATACAGAAAAAAATAGATGCGATGGCTTCATGTCTGTTTTTCCTTTGATTCTTATAACATTTTCGATGCTAAATTACCTTCTTTTTTTTTGTTGACATTTTGAAAAAAGATGTTCAGGCCGTTCAAACATTTTTTCCAGTTGTCTTTACTGTGAACTGGTCAGCACGGAGGATACTCCTGTACGATGTGCATTGAGCATCGTGCTGATGATGATGTTTTCCTTCACTGACTGAATCTCTCTCTCTGTGTCTTCCAGGCGAGGTGTGTGTGTGCTGACCTCATGGTGTAACAGAAGTAAAGATGAGCATTAGCAGTGATGAGGTCAACTTCCTGGTCTACAGATACCTACAGGAGTCAGGTATCCTCCCCTCATTGACACAGTCATCAATACTGCATTTATTTGCATTTTCTTCTTGAAATATCATACGTGCCCATAATTGATCATATCTATTTGTGAATGCATCCATGTCCAGGGACACAAAGTCATACATCATAATAAAGATTGAAGGTCCCAACCGTGAGCATTTGAAGTATGAACGCGTAAATCTATCACGGTGTCAAATTTGCCAAAAGCGTTGCCAACATGATGATTATCAATTTGTCCTTTTAATCAATCGTTTAAACACCGTCCTGGGAGGGGGAGGTGACGACGTGAACACAAGTGCATTGAACGGGTCTATAAGCGGCCCGTCTGTCTGCAGAGCGGGGGCACGAATGAAACATGCTCTGAGCTAGAGCGATGGGCCTATCCTCGACTTCATTAGTTGTAGATGATTAATAGACGGGATTTATCTAGCACCTCCAACCTGAGAAGAGTCACTTCAGCCCACACATGCACACATTAAGTGGTCATGCGCTGACTGGCTCGTGGGGAGTAAACTTTGCATCTTGAATAGTGGTGCTTTTCACACGTATTAAAATGTGCTCCCCCAGCCACTAGCGTGCTCAGCCTGCCTGCCCTCTGTGTTTGATATTAACCTTTCTCCAACAGCGATGAGCGGCGTAAAGCCAATCCCCCACCTCCCTGCAGAGGAGCTCAGCTGGTACTGGTTACACGTGTGAATCAGAGCTGTACCATTCTACCCCTCGTATCATATTTATTTATTTGCACCATAGATTTTCCATTTTACGACGCAAATCGTAAATCAAAAAGTGCCGTCTCTGGTGTATTCTTCTTAAATCTTTTATTGAAAGACAAAGGTGGTGCGAAAAGCAGTCCAGCTATGAGAGCGTTGCGTTCTCATGAAAGAACCGGTTTGCTGTTGGTTGTAGGTCACGTTATCGTGTCGCGCATTTTTCATTGGTCTTTTGAGTTCCACATGGAGACCTTGTTTGTTTACAGTAAACATTTTAATCGTCACATCACATAAACGGCACCACGACTACTAAAACATTTTACTGCATAGTAACCAGAACAAAGTCTGTTTTATGCATTCGACTCAATTATGTGTAAGCCGTGCCAGTGGCAGCCAGAGACCTCTTTTATAACCACGAAAACAAACGAGAAAGAACAACAAAAGCAGTGATGTGTATGGAACGACATGGCTTAATGGCAGCGGAGAAAACACAGTATTTATCTGTTAAACATACACAGAAGCAAGTATTCTTTACTATGATGGATGTATTCCAATGTTGAAAATATCCTCCCTCCTTTGTCTCTCCAGGGTTCTCCCACTCAGCGTTTACCTTTGGTATAGAGAGTCACATCAGCCAATCCAACATCAATGGTGCTCTGGTTCCCCCTGCTGCCCTCATCAGCATCATCCAGAAGGGCCTGCAGTACGTCGAGGCCGAAGTCAGCATCAATGAGGTGGGACACAAACAAGAGAGCCTCTCCTCTCCTCGCCTCTCCTCTCCCCCTCTCCTCTCTCACGGGTTACCTCTCCCACACTGCAGGACGGCACGCTGTTTGACGGGCGGCCCATTGAGTCTCTGTCTCTGATCGACGCTGTGATGCCGGACGTTGTTCAGACGAGGCAGCAGGCGTACCGGGATAAGATGGCCCAGCAGCAGGCCGCCGCGTCAGCGCCGACATCGGCCACCGGGGGCGGCATCGCCGGCAACGCCAAGAACGGAGAGAATACTGCCAACGGGGAGGAGAACGGAGCCCATGCCTTAGCTAGTGAGTCATGTGTTTATAGATGGAGCGGGACGTGCACATGATGCTCAGACTTGCTCTGACAAAGCAGTATTTTTCAGTCAAGTTGTAAAAAATGCAACTTAATATGTTGACGTCCCGTCCCGCTGTGTGCCACCCACCAACCTCTTTTCTTAGACAACCACGCAGACCTGATGGAGGTGGACGGAGATGTGGAGATCCCTCAGAACAAGGCCATGGTCTTGAGGGGCCACGAGTCCGAGGTCTTCATCTGTGCCTGGAACCCAGTCAGCGATCTGCTGGCGTCGGGGTCAGTCGCCTTCCTTTCACGCCATTATTCCCGGACACTCTGCATGAGTCACGTTATCGAGCATAGAACAGAGCGGGGGAACCATTGTCACATTTAAGAAGCGGGAACCATAAATCACAATAATTCATTTTCTGTTTGATGATTGAATGGTTCCGTGCAGTGCAGCTAATATTGATTTAAAACGAATGAAAAGGACAAATTAAAACCGGAGCTTCTTGTCCATGGAGACGTGCCGTATGTCTAAATGTGTCTGCTCTTCTCAGGTCAGGTGACTCGACGGCTCGTATCTGGAACCTGAGCGAAAACAGCACCAGCAGCTCCACACAGCTGGTCCTGAGACACTGCATACGAGAGGGGGGGCAGGACGTCCCCAGCAACAAAGACGTCACCTCGCTGGACTGGAATGTAAGTCCACCGACACACGTGCACATCATCCCACGTGGAATGCAGTCCCTTGAAACGAGGGACCGGGTGAAATCAGTAGCAGGGGTAGAAATCTGATCAAAATGTCAAAGTGCACACGTCGTGCTACTTCGCTCCCAAAAAGGGTTGGTTCATTTTCTTGGCTTCATCAAATCTTTAGCAGAATGTTTTGGTGTCTTGTGCTCATGATTTTAAACAGCACGTAATCTGCTGCATTTACACTCCAGTACGCACGAGAAAGTCAAAACGCGGCAAATGCCTCATCAGAGAAACTCCCAGAGCACTCGAACCGTTGATGTCTAACAGCGGGACAACTTTCCTTTAGTTCAGCCAACGGATTGTCAGCCTGAGCCAAGGGGCGGAGGCAAAATAAATCCTGGAAAGCGTCCATGCTCCGTGTGCATTCAGCCCGGACTCCATATTGCAAACTCTGCAAAAGACGACATGCATCTGTGTCTCACCTGGCTTTTACATGTTCATCTGTTGGGGACAGCACACGGTAACACGCGTGTCTCTCTCTCTGTTGGCAGAGCGAAGGTACGCTGTTGGCGACGGGCTCCTATGACGGCTTCGCCAGAATATGGACGAAGGATGGTGAGATGTTTCATTCATTCGTGTTACATTATAAACGTTTACTTGTTTACAGATATTTGCATTTCAGCAAGCAATAGGGAGTGAACATGAGTTTGTTCTGTGGAAACTGGTTGTTATGTGGTGGCTTTTGCTTTTCCTGCTCTACAACCCGTGTGTCACATGGTTGAATTAAACTGAACAATGCTGCCCCCTAGAGGCGGGCTGTACTACTCCCACCCGGCTGTTGACCCCAATTTCTGTTATTTAGGTTGAATCAATAAGGGAAACACTGAATCTTTGATTTGGCTGCAATTTGGCTGCAAATAATTCATTCTTATTGTGAATCTAAGTCCTAATATTCACGTTTATTATTTTATGCTATTCTGGTTTTTAACTTGGGTTTGTTTGCTGCTGTGTTATGAAGTACTGCAGTGTTTGTGAAAAATATATCTTAAAAAAAGCATTTAAATGTACAGAAAATAATATTTATTATTCTTCATCATAACAATGGCTTTTATGTAAATAAACTTCCATTTTATAGATTTCAAATTTCATCGCTTGACTAAGTACTTGGTTGTTAATATGAATGATGCTTGTTGAAAGTGGATCAATATTTTAATAAAGCGTAATTCTGAAGGCTTTGTTGTTCCAGATTGGATTCTTACAGATTCCTTTCCTTCTCCACAGGGAACCTGGCCAGTACACTTGGCCAGCACAAAGGTCCCATCTTTGCCCTTAAGTGGAACAAAAAGGGCAATTTTATCCTCAGTGCAGGAGTAGACAAGGTAAACAGGATTAAATCAGCTCCAAGTCCACATGTGTGGTTAATAAGGTGATCACATACATGTTCTGTCTAGTCATTGTTAGCTCTAACTATACATGTGCATGTGTCCTGCCAGACAACAATCATATGGGATGCCCATACAGGAGAAGCCAAACAACAGTTTCCCTTCCATTCAGGTACAGAGATTCTTCTCAAAGATTCAATCTGTTTTTTTGTCAAGCTTTGCTTTGGGTCTCGCTAACATCCTTTTATGTCTCACAGCTCCGGCACTAGACGTTGATTGGCAGAGCAACAACACGTTTGCCTCCTGCAGTACGGACATGTGCATCCACGTCTGTAAGCTGGGACAGGACCGACCCATCAAAACATTCCAGGGACACACGGTAAGTGGAGCGTGTGGAGACTGTTAGTAGGAATATTGCCTCTAAACTGGTTTGAAGGATGTTTTTTTATGGGACGTGGAGTCGACATGAATCAAGATGCTGTGAAAGCATCACAAACGGGGTCTCTCTCTCTCTCTCTCCAGAACGAAGTCAATGCAATCAAGTGGGATCCCACAGGGAACCTGCTGGCCTCCTGCTCGGACGACATGACGTTGAAGGTGAGCTGAAGCCGGTGAAGCATCGGGTGTCATTAACGTCACTGTCGCTGCTTCCTGGGACATTATCCAATCGCTGTGGGGGGGAAGCGATAAGTTCCTTAATGCGAGTCGTTGATTGAGTTCCTCTGCTCACGGAGCCAGATACTACATGTACCAGGATGCATCTTGTGCATGCTTCTGACTCCCCGAGGGTCCCGCCGTGCGTGAGGCAGCCTCGGCATCAGCACTTCCTTCTCCTGAGATATTCAGCTGTATTTTTTTGTCGCCGGTCAGCCAAAAGCTTATTTATGCTCATCTGCCATATCCTCCGCGCTCTTATTTTGTTAAGTCATTTCTGCTGTTGTAAACATAACTGGTTTGCCCTTCATGTGCTTCAACGAGAGCAAGATGTTGTCCTAAGATTTTCCTCCTCCTGTTATGTTAAAAAACATCTTTCTTTGTTTTAGTTCCTCTGAGTTTTTGCATGAATCGTCAGGGAGCAGGACGTTTCAATTCGGTGCTTCTATGTTTCTATGACTACAGCCTTCCTGACTGAACTGTAAATAAATCATTAACCACAGCGGATACACGGGTTAAGTTGTGATACATGTTTTTTAATTTGAATTCCTTGTTTTTTCAGATTTGGAGTATGAAGCAGGACTCGTGTGTCCACGACCTGCAGGCCCACAGTAAAGAAATCTACACCATCAAATGGAGTCCCACCGGCCCAGGAACCAACAATCCGAGCGCTAACCTCATGCTGGCTAGGTGAGTTTCTGAGCTTGACTACTTTAACCCATTAGCCAGTACCATCTAGAAATGGCTTCAGTATTTGAACCGAGCGCAGCAGAGAAGCACAGCGCTTTGCTTTGTGCCGGTAATCCAAACGTCACGCGACAAAGCTCCTTTTCTTTTAAACAGCTGCAGCTCTTTAACCCCGTGTGTCCCGTGTCTTCCTTCCACAGTGCGTCCTTTGACTCCACGGTTCGTCTTTGGGATGTGGAGAGAGGCATCTGCATCCACACGCTGACTAAACACCAGGAGCCCGTCTACAGCGTGGCTTTCAGCCCCGATGGTCGGCATCTGGCCAGTGGCTCCTTCGACAAATGTGTGCACATCTGGAATACACAGGTAGGAGGGAGTGTTAAACGGTGTACGTAACCCTCTCCTGGGGGCCATGGAGTGGCCGTGTGTCAGTCTGCGGCTATTTACATTCATACAGATGTTTAGTAATGTCATGTGACCTATCACCGTGCATCAGCAGGGTTTTTTGCTAGAAGCTCTTTAAACCGACGCCCATCAATATTTTACATATTCATTTAGATATAGATTATAATTTATTATATTAGAGTTCTGCCTCGATCTGGTTATTATTAAAGCCAATATTTTCTTGCTGTCATCCACCTTATTTCTTATTTGACAGCTGAATGTGGGCTTACAGTCCCGAGGTGAACACACACACCACTGCTGCCCCCCTGTGGCCAAAGGGACAATACGCTCACTGCAGTTTGAAGGCAGTAAAACGTGTGTGTTTATTCGGGAAAGAGCCTAAAGCATAACGTGTATCCTTCTCCCTCGTTGTGCTGCAGACGGGCGCGTTAGTCCACAGTTACAGAGGGACGGGGGGGATCTTTGAGGTTTGCTGGAACGCAGCGGGGGACAAAGTGGGAGCCAGCGCATCAGATGGATCTGTGAGTAAACGCCGCTGTGTGCTCTTATTGTGAAAGTGTTTGAGCGGTCCTACGGACTGACACCCCCCCCCGTCCTCCTCTGTCCCAGGTGTGTGTACTAGACCTCCGGAAATAGTGTTGCTGTTTGTTGGAAGCCATGGACCGACCATGAATGTGTACATAGCCAAATGACTGTCCCTGCCTGCCCTGCGTACTGCTCTCGCTCACGACTATGGCCCCGCCCACCGACAGACAGGAAGCAGGAAACGGGAACAGGAAGCAAGCACCCGACACAGCAGGTCCAGACCCGGGATGAACGGACAGACGGACGGAGTAACGGGCGGATGGACGCGCCCCTCTCCATCTGTGCAGACTCTTACAGAGATGCAGAAGGGACGCAGTGAAAAAACAAGAAAAAAACCCTCATAAGACAAAAAAAAAGTTACAGATCCGTATATGTACCAAAATTTGGAAGCTATTTTGCTTTTTTGATCTTTAAACCATACTCATGTGTCATCAAAATGAAAAACAATGAAAAAAGTGTTGACCTTTGTTACTAGTTGGAGCTCATTGTGAAGACATATCAACTTCTCCACCATAAAATAGGACGGCACTTAGTTTTTTTTTTTTTAATTTCCGATCTCTTGTTTCAATGTTTTTATATTTTTTATCTTTGGGGGGGGGGGCAGGTCAAGTCAGAGATTTGTTAATTGGAGAAGAACATGCATATGAACGCACTCGGACAGTTCTCAGAAACCGTGTCCTCGTTGTGACTTCATAGATCCGGTTGACCTCAAAGCGGAGTGGTTGTTCTCCAGAGGATCAGCTGTGCACATGTTTTTACCCACAGTGCTCCTCTCTGCACCTTCGGCCGTAGCAGCTACTTGTGTGATGGAGAACGTTTCAATTGGCAGGAGGCTAAATGTTCGGTTTTATTCAGGCAACAGTCGTCGGGTCCCGTCTGCGATGACACGCTGTCCTCAGCCAGTAGGATTCCAGCATTCTTTTTATTTACATTTTATTTGGGTTCAAGACTTGAAACGAGTCTAATTGGATTCCCGCCCAAAACTTCTGGAGCGTTGCTCCCCGTTTAGTTCACGCGGGTGCTCTGGAGGCACCGCGGGTCCCAGGCAGATGGGCGGAGCCAAAGACGCGGATGATGTCACCGGCCGGGAAGCTTTTCATCATGTGGGATATTTGTATGTAAACAAGTGAAACCAAATACAGTTTGTGGTCCCTTTTTGATAGAATGTGAATCACTACGGTTAAAGTTAAAGGTTTATTATTGTCATTCGGCATTTTAACTGATCAGCTGGACTCTGGTTAAGATCATTAACGGTTCCACTCACTCTGACTTTTTGTAAATGGTCACTAACTTTTGGGTTGGTGCGAAAAGACGCGTCATTCCTTACACCGCTGACATCTTTCAAATGATATTTCGATGAATATTAAGTCATCACCTCTCCGGGTCTCTGTTGCTCCGCCCCGGTCAAACCCTGACGTAGTGACTCCAGAGCAGCTCCGCCTCCAAAACTACCTGAAGAGTTTCTATAACCCCCACATTCCCCCGGATGGAAGAGAGGGCTTCAGTGTCCCCTGCGGCTGCCTTTATTTAAAAAGAGGAAGAGACATGACGTTCTGTATGGTTCCCCTTTCCTCTCTATGCTTTGATAACGAAGCCCCCCCCCCCCACACACACACACACCTCCCCCCCAGTCGAGTCTACTGGCTGATTGCTGGCACGAGGTTGCTGTTCAGAGTCGAGCGCAAAAGCAGATCCAAACATTAAAGCAATATGTGGACATTTTATTCTTTGTCTGTTTTTATTACCAGCTTCTTGTGATATCGTGGACGACTACGCTGCATTCATGAAGGACACGGACGAGTCACAGATAAACTCCAATAAAGTGGTTCATCCACAGCACGACAGTCCCAGTCCCAAAATCCCAAACCGTTTATTTAATGCATTTAACTCCTGAGCCCCCATCACCTCCATCGCTGTCACTTCTTCACCTTCAACATTCTGCTCACAATTGACTGATGAGATTGATGAGACATTTTATACTCTTTTAAACGCAAATTAAAGTTACATTTTTGTAATTTCTTTGTAGATTTGAAAAGAAAACTGTAAATTGATGATTTGTTGGCAGTGTTGCTTTCTGTGTTCTCTCCATCTTGTTCCATTACTTTGATGCTTTTGTGAGTAGTAAAGGTTAAAGGTCACTGAAGGCCCCAGGACAAAACTACCACTACATTTTCTTTAATAAAAACATTATTAATGAACATTTTCACTTAAATCTTTAGTCTTTTGGGGAAACTGACTCTGTATTACATTTATAAGATTTTTTTGATTCATCTGCTTCCCTTTTTGTCATCGCTTTAGTTTCTCTGGAATCCGATTTAATGCCATTTAAATTTGCGCAGTCCGATATCGGGAGCCCAGAAAAGGATTCTGTGCGTGACTCGTCACAGGAGCATCGTCTGCGTGGTCACGCTGAGGTTAGTGAAATCCTCCATCAGGCCGAGAACATTAAGCTTCCATTTAGGCCAACTGGTTACCAGAAATAGGTGATTTGTTATTGGCTGCTTGGTGCCCAACGCGCTCGCTGGTCACTTGAGGACTCTAAAATATAAATGCGTAAAATACACCTTTTTCAACAATTTATTCTCTGGTGATATTTGACGAGCCCGGAGAAAAAGCCCACCCAGAGAGATCTGCAATTTAGGTTTGTGATATTTCAGATTAAACCCAAATAGTTGAATCTGCCTCCAGAGCTGCTCTGCTGACGATCATTTGTACAACTATTAATCCACTTCCCTTCCTTCTGTGGTAAATTGGGTATTTCTACAGAGATTTCATGTGAGTCCTGTGCACCATTTCCTCATTTCTTTTTTTCTTCCCCGTATTTAAAGCACTTGAGCCAACAATCGTTTTTGAAAATGTCCCGCGTGGGCCGATGTCATGCCATCCGCAGGTCTGTTCCATCTCACTTTGTCTTGGTAAGCGCGGCTGATGTCGCTGAGTCGGCCTTTATTTGTACAGACATGTCAGTCGAAACAGCGTCTCCCCCCCCGGCTCTCAGAGCCAAGATGATTTCTTCTTTTCCTTCTGCAACTTGCATCACATTGGTCTGTTATCATTGAAGTCAGATTGGTGAAACTAAAGTCCTGAATAAAATATATTTTGATAAGAGTTTGGAGTGTTTATTTGTGAGAAAACTAGAACTAACAGCCTGGATTGTTCGTCATCGAGTCTTTATGAACAGCTTCAGTGAACCAATGAAAGTGGATTTTAAAGAGCTTGTTCCCGTCCTGCTGCTTTCTTTCTTCCAAGTGGGAAGGAAGCGCTTTTTCTCTGCATTTCCCGTCATGGCCGAAGGAGGAAGCAGCCATTTCGATGTTTGGTCATATTTCCCGAAAGCTTGCAGCAGCTTTGTATTCTGCAGGCAGACACGTCTAGTTAGGATGAGTCTTTCTGCGTGACTTAATATTTTTGAAAATACTTTTACATGTTAGTTTGGACAAATTTGACTTTGTAATATAAACTACATAAACTATACTTTGACTTTTAAATGCTATATTTTGACTTTTGGGGTGGTTTGTGGCACTAGTGAAAATTATTACTATAATATGATTTAAACTTTGAGTTTTTTGGTACAATTATTTACACATTTTACTAATTTTAAGACCTTTTCTTTGAAATGCTCTACTTCAATCATTCATTTCTCTTAGATTTGTTAACCTAATGAATAGATACACTTCTCTATACCTGATGCTGTACTATGTCTTTTTTACATTTAAAATAAATGTTTAAATATACTTAATAGCTTAACATACTCTTACGTCTTTGGCAGCATTTTTTTCGCTGTAGGACGTTTGTAATACCGGATCTTTTGCATTTGGCACTGTACGTTTTTACTTTTGTGAACTTTACGTCTCTGATTAGTTGAGATCCTCCCCGAGAGGTTTGTCCTGATCCGTCCCGTCGGAGCAGGACAAAGTCCTGCGGCTTCACCACAAACTGGACGCAGCATTGAAACAAAACTCTTAAACATCCCATTGTGGTTAGTTTTAATAAGAATGCAGTTCATGACAATGAATTAAAATAATTCAGATGGCACCGTCTCCTCGAACCAACGACCTTCTGAGAGACAAGACGATACAGTCCACACATTTATTTCTTTGACATCATCCATTATTAAAAGTATGAACACAAATGTAAACTCATAATACAGTGATACTGGCTCTAGTGACATTAAATGATAATTCTGCCATAATTCGATGTTTGAACCCTGAGACATCGCACTGCCGCCACCGGGGAACCAGCGCACAAAGTAACACAAAGTAACAACTCAGCTCCTTACGTGCCTGTTTATGCTACGTAAAAAAAGTTATGCTTTAACTGACAGTTCCCCGTCCCAAAGGCAGGAGATTCCAGTGTTTTATTTCCTTTGTTTCATCAAACGCATGTGGAATGTCCGTGCTAGAAGCCGCCTCTTTGTTCAAACACCGATGCAAGCTGTTAACATGGTTACTTAACTGTTTCTATTAGTACTAACGCGGGGAGGTCTTTAGCTCCGCCCCCCCGGTCTCTGGCGAGGCGGGCCTAGCTGAGGATTTTGTGGTGCGGGTGGAGCGGGAGGGAGGAGGTGAACGCTCTGATGTCGGTGATGAGAGCCGTGTCCTGGAGCAGCGGCGAGGAGGCCGGCAGGAAGGTCAGCTCGCGCACTTCCCCGTAGGACGAGGAGGGCGGGTCCTCGGGGTTGTCGGTGGCGCGCGGCTCTGGAGGGTCGTCGTTCTCCTCCACCCCGAAGCCCACCACCTAACAGAGACGAGAGGAGTGTTTGATTGGAAGCCACCGCCTTAATGTTTATGCTTCAAAGGGCTCGCAGCGTTTGGCCCGTTCAGCCCACCGACTAAAAACCGGGTTTAAATTGAATTCTGAGCATTTCTTAGACAAGACAAGGAAACCGCTTACATGGACACTGAGCTTCCTGCTGTCGGCGTTCCTGTGCTGCAGGAACCAGGAGAGCAGCTCCTCCTGAGAAAACTGCTTCAGAGCCTCAATCTGCAACAGAGACGACGGGTTAAGGCCGGCGCATGTTTCTGCTTCTGCGTCTTTACGCACCGTTGCGTCGACGCACTCGTTTCAATCCATGCTTCTAAAAGTCTTGCGTGTGTTGCAGAGCAATTCACCTCCAGGACAACAGGTGGAGTAACGTGTTTTTTGTCAAAGACGACCTAGAGAGTCATGTCTATTTATTGATTTGTTTATTTGTTTATCATAGACTTTATTGCCCCGTGCATGGACACTGCTGCTTTTCATCGCGGACGCGTTTGTCCCGTATTTTCCTCCACAACACGACAAAAGTTCTTCAATCTGATCCGTTCTCTTTTTAAGTGTAATCGTCAAAGTGTGTAATAGTTTCACTGCTGATGTTCAGAGTAACAAGTCAAGAACAAGCGCGATCAGAGCGCACGCATTGACTGACAGGAGGCGGGGCTTCCCCGTGCCCGCAGTTGGGGAAAAAAGTGAAATGTGGAGGCGCTCTGGCTACTTTACATAGCCGTGTTTAATCACCGCTACGATGGCACACGCCAAGGCGTGTTGCTAATCGAGGCCTCAGAGGAAGCTGTGGCTTCCTGATGTTTCCATGCAGATGAAATAGTGCAGCTATCGTATCGCACAAATGTTTAGTGATGAAAACCATCAAAACCAGCTCTTGAATAAAGATCAGCAAATTAAAAATGGTTGAGCATCGCATATCACATGTTTAGAGAAGTGGTTAATGTGTTTAAAACTATAATTAAAATGCTCCTTATTGGTAGTAAGTAATAATGTAAACTTCCATAACCTTAATTAACCAACTTGACAGATTTCAAACCTATTGACAAAGAATGTTAAGGGAACGGACATTTCAGTATCATGACTGAAGGAGGGTATTTAACATTTTAAAAATTCTTTCTGAATACAATAGCATTGGCTAAATTCTACATTTCTCATTGGGCGGCTGCGTCTCCTCCTTTCTCCTTCTTTCAGAGAAGGAGGGAGGGAGCTCACCTCCTTGTTGAGCCTCTTGAAGACGTACTGCTGGGTGACGACCTCGAACCAGTTGCGGTCCACTTCCTCTCCCAGGTGAGCGTCCTCGCACTCCTTCAGCTTGATGAGGGCCGTCACCTGCGTCCCGAAGGCCTCCTCGCTCAGACCGGACAGACGCTCCCCGAAGCTGACCAGGAACTCCTCGATCTTGGCCTCCACCAGCTCCGTGCTGCCAGGACAAGCGGGGCGAGAGGGAGGAAGAGGAGGGATTTCACACAGGGGTCAGGCAGACGCCGTCAAGGAGCCAGAGGCGTGTTGGGACGCCCCGTCTGTTGAGTCTTTATTTACTTCCGGGCCGTGGAGAAAGGGCAACTCACCTGAACTTGGTCGCCTGCGTTTCCACGGTGACGGAGAAGCCCAGCACCCCCGAGGTGTTTCTGCAGGTGGGGTACACCTGGTACCTGTGGATCGCGAGGTTTGGGGATTAGACGGATGAGCGTGCACGTGATCGGTGCACTCGGAGGAAACGACTGCCACTGACCCCAGCGTCTCCTTCGTCCTGAGGAAGTCAAAGCAGGGCTCCTCCATGTGCATCTGTGGGAGCAGACACACGTCACGCGCCTGCCGACGGCCACAAAAAGAGGCGCCGCTCCACCGCCGATCTAACCGTCACATTTTAGCAGCGCTTATGGAGCGAGAGGCCATTCACACGGCATGATTCTCCAGCAGAAGGTACGGGGGCGAGTGATTTGTCACAGGAAATACCTAATAGTTCCAGTAGTGCTGTGCTCTGGTTAGTACTCCAAGTCAAGTCTTGATATTTAAAAAAAAATACGTCAGCTGAACATAGCGTTTTCCCCGTTATGGTCTAATATACAACAACAAACACGTGGCGGATTTACAGTAAAAGAAGGCGTTAAATCCACAAAATCAGGTATTTTGATGGAGAGTCGGGAGTTTCTTCAATTAGGATTCATACAAAAACATTCCTTTGCAGAAGCTTTGTTCTTTGTCACGAGTGTCGGTGAGATGACAGTGAAGGTGTCCAGACTCACCACCATCAGCTCCATCAGCGCGTGTTCTCTGAGGTTCTTCAGCCCCGACTGCACCGCAATCCAGATAGACATTAGTGGTGGGGGAAGAATTCAGATTAACACTGTAAAATGTTACTCAAGTTAAAGCAAACCCGTTCAATCAGGAAAAAGTACTTTGATTATTAAAAATGAAGGAAAATGCTAATTATGCTCCTCGTATAATTGTAATATTCTAGTACTTCTTAGTTTAGAACACAATGTGAACTAATAACACTTGAATGAACATCATATTGTGAGCACGTCCCTGAGATATCGGGTTGCACTTGCAAGTATCAGCCACTAACGATTGTCACATTCTTTTTTAAATTAGGACATCATTTTGTAAACTGAGCCTTCAACAAAATAAAAGATGGCAAACAAAAGTGCCCCAGAAAGCGCGAGACGTGACCTGCTGCTCCTACCTGATAGTACACGGTGACCTCAGAGTTGGCGTCTCCTTTGTTTAGAGATTTAACTTTACAGAGATGATGTTTCTTAGGGAGCTCCACCACCCGGAACAACACGGGCACCTCTGCTGACAGACACTGGAACTGCAGCTTCCTGCAGAGAGAGAATGACGTCAGTCACAGCTTCTCTGTTCACATCGTGTCGCTCTGCGCTGTCCTCCCTCGGCAGCGATGCTGCTGCTTCATTTTTACATTTTTTATTCTGGAAAATAATTTTAAAAAACTACTTTGTGTTCTTCCCCACAACATTTCAGAAACTATACATTACAGTTCAACACTACTAATAGCAGTAAACATACAAGTCACATGCAGTTCAGAAAGTAATGTAGACATTCAGATGATTTGACTTTTGAGTGAAACCTCAATAAAGAAATGAAGCGGAATACTCACTCAATAAAATACTGCAGAAACTCTCTGGACTCCTGTTTGAGGGAATAATGTGCGCGGTTACATGTTTAACTCAACAGCTCATTTCTATAGTGAAACAAGTGGACATAGAAACCATCCGTGCATCATACTGAAGATAAAGTAAATATCTGTGGGTTTAACACAAAAACAAGTTACATTGCTCTGAGATTTGTTAACATTTGTTAAATAACCATTTACCTGTTAT